TATACCCATTTAGAAATACATAATAATTTGTTCACTATTTGAAATCAGAACGACGCAAATAGCTTAATAACCTTATTGGTTGTTAAATATTTGAAATGATTGCTTATTATTTTAACCTTGAATAAGTAAGGGCACTTATCATTTCGTTGAATAAGTAGGGCACTTATCATTTCGTCAAGCATTAGGAGGAATTTTTGTGTTTTTGATGACATGCATGATTGATATTTTCCAAATCGTAATTTTATTTTTTAATAAATTTAATACTTTGTCTATTTACTTAAAACTCGGTTGTGGATTCATTTTCAAATTGGGTGACAGACTCAAAAAATTAAAATATATATTTTAAAAATTAACGAGATACCCAAGAAAATATGGTTTGGATATTTTGGCCCATTTTTTCATAAGGCCTATGCCTTATTGAAAGTACATCTTTTTTTTATTTATTAGGCGACCATATGTGGATTTATATATGCCATAATTTTTATATCAATACAATTTTTAGATAAAATAAGAAATTCTAAGCTCAAATCCTAGAAAAGGATACATTATTCTTTTCATGTGTATAGAGAAAGCGGTTAGTTTTTTATATATTTTTGTTTTTATTTTAGGCTAGTCTATGAGTTAAAGAGGTTATGCAAGGAAAAAAAAACGCAGCAGCAGTAAATATGCAATTCGTTTTTTGCTTTCCCTATATGAGCCGACCCATTTAAGGGAACCTTTCTTTTGTATTGGCAACCACCAAATGTCTTTCTCGGTGAGCCCATCTTCTTTTCGTGAATTTCTTCTTCTATTTTTGGATAAATAGGGGTAAATCAGTGGGGATTTGGGCCCCTATTCTTAAGTGAGACCAGAGTAAGAGACTTCATCATAGGGCTCGGTACTACCGCCAAGGCTCCAGCCCATCCTCGTTTTTATGAATTTCTTTGGTTAGCATTTAATATATTCCTCATGCATGTAAATCTTCCTTCATACACTCTATCTCCTCCACAAATCTCTCATCATGTGTTATCAGCAAATAGACCTCCCTCTTTTCCTAGTTCTTAAAGAGCTGTGAACTTGTCCTCCACTGTCACCAAACTCCCAAGAATACAGAGTGGGATTGTAATGTACAAGTTACAACAATAAGCTTCATCTAGTACACTCAATTTGCCACCCTTATCACATGTTAATGTGATGCCACTTTTGGTGAAAATGAGCACCTCACCTGCCAAAAGTTGTGGATACCCATGGTTGCTCATTTTGTCATACATATCTGCAATGTGGTGTGCTTCCACCCACTTCTTTTCTTAGGTTAGACCCAAGACCCAGCTTTCGAACCACGGTTTCCGTGTCCAATACAAACAACAACATCCTGGTCTAGGGTTGTATGTTCCTGTAGGCGGTCGGTTCTGGTTTATAGTCTCCCACTTCTTCATCCACTTCCTCTGTCTCCATGTTGAAAGCCAAGATATCTCCAAAAAGGAGGTAACATATGCGGCCGTGTGATGCTGATCTCCAAGGGGATACTGCCACAAAGCATAAGGTGGATGGCATGTTGGCCTGGTTTTATTTGATTCCTTTTGAGCCCCAGTAACTCCACCCATTAACGAATTGGGAGAAGATCTTGAAATTGCAGTTTTCAGGGATGAAATAAAACCCAAAGTCATCAACATATAAAGGACCAGAAAATTTTGGAATGGGGGAGCATTGGCCAGTTGCTGAGTTGGCAATGAAGAAAGTATCTATGTTTTCCGTACTGAGCCAGCATAGAATGCCATGGCTGATTGCCATATACTTGGGTGCTTTAAACTTCAAGCTTCAAGATGCGAAACCATCGCCGAGATTGTAGAGAGATCCAAAAAAGATTCTGTATTATGAAATGATCAATATTTTCAGTCATTTTTACATAGTTATAGTTTTAATTGTGTGTAATTTGAATTCTTGTTACTAATCTTAATTACTCTACAATTAATAAAATTTCAATCAGATATATTGAAGTCCCATTGATCAACTAATAAATAGATTCTTGATAAAAATACTATAATATCCCACATAAAACTTGCCATTGAGAATATCTCAATAGGAGTCATTGTCACTAAAGTGGTAGGTTGGAGTCAATAAATATTAGGGATTCACTTCGCTATAAACCAATGTTTCAAAAACCAGCAATTCAGATCAGGAAGAACAGATCTGAATCGGGAATTGTTGGGGACTAATTCACTAAAAAACAAAAGGAAAAATATCCAATCCACATAATGTGGACTCTTCAGATTGAACATGCCCATATCCAAAGGCCACAAAATAATTCCTTTTTGTTTTAGTTAAATATGATCTTTATATGGGCATAGATGATAGCACACTAAAAACTTGAACATAGAAAATATTCTGGTCTTTTTTTTATTATTTTTATTTGATGTCCCATATAAAAAAGCATCTATACTTCAAAATTTTAGACAACAATAATTTTTTTTTTTTTTAAAAAAAAAAGACAGAATTATTTTATGGCTGTTGAATGAAACCAGGTTCAACCGTTCAAGCATCCATCACATGGATGCTATACCATCCCATAAAAGAAGCTTATCTTCATATGGGGTGCAAGCTTCCACCTCTGTATGATTCCTTTTTCTCAGCTTTTTTAACTTGAGCTTCTCATGGGTTTCCATAACCACTTGCTTATACCTCCATTTATCCACAAAGATCATTAACTGCATCAAAGAACTCTTCCTTAATCAAACCATACAAGAATACATCTACCAAGTACTGGTCAAATTTAATACTTGGGTTTTACTTGCCAGAATTCACCATCATCTGATTCGTCCATTTATCCACAAAGATCATTAACTGCATCAAAGAACTCTCCCTTAATCAAACCATACAATAATACATCTACTAAGTTCTGGTCAAACTCAATACTAGGGTTTTACTTACCAGAATTCACCATCATCTGATTCGTCACCTTAGTCCATGGAAGTGAGCTGTCGAACATAGAAGAACACATTTGCAATAAATTATTTTTAAAAAGAGCAAACCCTTCAACAACTACCACCACTAGGAAATGCAAAGGGAAACAGGGATGAACAACTACCACCACAAAGGAAATGCAAAAGGATGCAGAGATGAACTACCACCACCACAAAGGAAATGCAAAGGGATACAGAGAAGAGTGATCTCCTTCAAACATATGAAGGTTTATAAGATCCACAAAAACAAAACCATAAACAGAATGAAAACAAAGATATTCCAAGAAGCATTCATAAGCATTGCATTCCCCAAAAGAGAAGACAAAAATCTAAGAATCATGTATCCAGAACATGAAGAATACAACTGAAAACCAGGGGTTCAGAGCCTACACTGCACTCCATTTCTTGGGTGATCAAAAGGTGCAAATGAAGATTACATTTTCCAGAGTTTTCTTCAAAGGAAACCCCAAAAGAATCTTCTCTTTGCCCTAATTTGTCTTTAACCAACTGAACACAACTCCAAACAGGAATTAAACCCACCTAATAGGAGGAAAAAAAATCCCAACTTTTCTAGCTAGAGCTTCCACATTTGGAGAAACCCAGCAAATTCCTCCCAGAAAAAGCCCTAAACTTGAGGAGAAATGAGCCCAGCAATCCAACAATGACTTCCCATGTTTAGAGAGCATAATCGAGAGAGAGAGGCCAAAATGTGTGCAAATTTCCAGACAAATCCATCACATGGTTAGAATAAACCCAAAATTATTACCATCTAATTTTGCATCTGTGTAGAGGTTAGCAAGCTTTTCTGCTCTTGTAACCTATATTATACAATGCAGAACACAGAGAAGCAAGGCAAAATTACAAGGATCACAACACAGAAAGTTTTGACATTCAGTTCTTCTTTTTCAGAGATACAACAAAATAAGAGTCATGGAATTCAGATTTTAATGGCTATTAAGCCTGTTTTAGACCATAGACTCAGCATCAATTTCTTGAGTTCTCTTTGTTTCCCTTATGAATATTGAGCAAAATTTCTGCCTCTTCTACAAAACTTAACACATATCTCTCCAAGAACGCCTTCTCCGATAAAACACAAATTGTCGATAAATTTGCATCCTTTTCCAGCAACTTTCTTGACCTCAACACTTTCAATAGATTAATCCTTGGGATCAACCTTCTCTCTAAATTATAACCGAATATATGTGGATGAAAACACAGATATTTCTCATCATATTTAAGTTCGTTGATGAAATAATCCATAGTCTTTTGCAACTTCTGTTCTGATAAACAAAAGATTACAGGCGACTTTTGGAAAGCGGTACGAATATCTTCTTCTGACCACCCAAAGCTCTTAAAGAACTTAAATTTCCTCTGCCATGTCTCCTTGCTCATCGAACTCATGAACCTAACAGCATCAGAGTACATTTTAAAGTGAGATTCAATACCCAATTCCTTAACTTTCTCCGTGATTTCTATAAGCCTAATGGACTTCACTTCAAATAAGCGTGTCTGTTTCAATAAGAGTAATCTCAACTTCGAGCCGCCAATTCCCTGGCTCTCCATGAACCTAACATTGGGCTGCAATCTCTTGGACACCAAGACTGAACTACGACCTTGACCTTTGAGAATCTTCAAGACACCTTTGGGATCCAAGTAGTTTTTAAGGAAGAGAATGTTAGGGAGAAGTCTTTTGTTTAAGCTATACGTAACAATGGTTGGATTTGCAGAGATGACAGCCCCAAGATCGAATTTAGAAAGGCCCAAATCTTCAAACAATTTGAATTTGGGTGCTAGGTTTTTCTCGACATTGGCTGCAAGAAGATGGGGGCGCTTGCTGATAATTGTATGGATATGGATTGCTTCAAAACCTTTGGCTTTGAGGAAGTTTAGTACCGAGAGAGCTTTCTGAGGGGTTTTGACATGGAGAAGCTGGGAAGATGCAGCAATGGCTCCTTGCTTTGAGAACCCAAAAGAGTCCACAAACAGATTAACCATGAAAGAAGAAGTAGAAGAAGGTAAGGCCGTTCCATCATTAATGAGAGAAGAAGGAGAAGTGAGAGGAGAGGGTTTTGTGGAGAACTGTTGAACATAAGAATGAAGAGAGAGAGGAATGACAAAGGAAATGAGAAATTGGGGTTTGCAGAAAGATTGGGCTTTTGTCAAGGCCATGATTTTGAAGATTTAGAAGAAGATCATCAGTTACAGTGTTAATGGACTAACAACACTTTTGCACTCAAAAAAAAAAGGAGAACATCGTTTATGTTCTGATGAATGAAGAACACCCAACAAAGAAAGAAAGAATGAGGACCATACCCAGTGGCTTGCTGTAATGGGAGGACCGGTAGCTTCCTTTACGCCCTTTCTTTCCCTTACTGCAAATAGTTTATAGAGAGAGATTCAAATAGAGAGGGAAGTGCCTTCGTCAAGGTTTAGAGCGAGAAAGTGTGACTGTGACCGTTAGGGCTTGACATGTATCAGAGTAATTTTTCCTCGATCGAGTGCGAGAAGGATCGCACTTAGTGCTTTAAATGGTTTGGGTTGATGCTGAAACAAATCGGCCCCGACCCGGTGGGGAGTAGCCTAGACCCAGATTAAAGAGGCATTTGAAGAGGACATGCAAATTTTGAAGAAAAAAAAATCCACCCCATGAATGAGATTTTAATAGCTAATTCACATTACATGCCTTATAACAAAAGTAGCTCCTACTTGTTGAATTATTATGTCAACAACTGATGCCTCCATCAATAGATTCCATAGTTTCTTATGTAACCAATCCAACCCAGTTTCTAAAACCAAGAAGTAGAGCGCGAGAAGGAGAAACTTTCGAAGAGAAGAGCACAATGAGGGGTTAGGAGGAGTAGGTGGTTGGATCTGGTTGAGAATCCGAGTTAGAGAGAGAGAGAGAGTATTCGCATAAAAAGAAGCAACCAAATCTTATTAATCAACAGCTCTCATTTTGGGGGAAATCATCCATTCAAAATGTGTGTGAGAGAGAGAGAGAGAAGGAGAAGAGATAAGAGAGAAAGTGAAGCCCTTCGCCCTGAAATGGGTTTTCAACTTCGCACGCCAGGGTATACTTCCATCCCTAAAGGGGGTGACCAATTTTTGGTGCCTAAGGCAGAAAGTCATAGCTTGGGAAGGGGGGAGTGCATTTTCACTCCAAAGTTTGAAAATCGAAACAAATGGGTGGACTTTCCGCACAAATAAACACATACAAAATCCTAGACAAAACCGTAACATGGTCAGAATAAAACCAAAATTATAGCCTGCTAATTTGCATTTGTGTAGAGGTTAGCAGCCTCTTATACTCTACTAACCCATATTTTGCAATGCAGAAACAAAGAAAAAATAGAAAGAAGCCAACTCCAAGTGAAATTTGACATACAAATTCTTCTTTTTCAGTAATAAACAAAACAAGCGTCATGGTGTTTAGATTTTAATGGTTATGAAGCCTTTTTTAGATCCGCAGACTCAGCACCAATTCTTGGGTTTTCCTTGTTTTCCTTATAAAATTTTAGTAAACTTTCTGCCTCTTCTCTGAAACTTAGCACATACTTCTCCAAGAATACCTTCTCGATAACACACTAACTGACGATAAATTGGCATACTTTTTCAGCAATTCCCTTGACCTCAACACTTTCAATAGATTAATCCTTGGGATCAACCTTCTCTCTAAACTGTAACTGAATATATGTGGATGAAAACACCGATATTTCTCATCATATTTAAGCTCATCAACAAAATAATCCATAGTCTCTTGCAACTTCTCTTCTGATAAAGAAAAGATTACAGGAATCTGTTGGAAAGCAGTGCAAATATCTTCTTCTGACCATCCAAAACTCTTCAAAAACACAAATTTCCTCTGCCATGTCTCCTTGCTCATTGCACTCATGAATCCAACAGCATGAGAGTACATTTTAGAGTGAAATTCAATACCCAATTCCGTAACTTTTTCTGTGATTTCTTTAAGCCTACTAAGAATTGAAGCTATGCGGCCTTTGCAATAGGAGTGTTTTCAACTTCAAGCCCCCAATTCCATGGCTCTCCAAGTGCCTTATATTGGGCAGAAATCTATTAGACACCAATAGCGAACTACAACCTTTGACAAACCTTAAGACGTTTTCATCGGTTCCCAAATAGCTTTTGAGGAAAAGAATTCTAGGGAGAAGCCTTTTGTTTAAGCTATAAGTAAGAATAGATGGATTTGCAGAGATGAAGGCCCCAAGTTCAAATTTAGAAAGACCCAAATCTTCGAGCAATTTCAATTTGGGTTTTAGGTTTTTCTCAGCATCAGCTACAAGGAAACGAGGGCACTTGCTGATAATGTCATGGATGTGGGTTGCTTCGACACCATTGTGTTTTAGGAAGGTTAGAACAGACAGGGGTTTCTCATCTGTTTTGAGGTGGAGAAACTGTGAAGATGTGGCAATGGCGGATTGCTTTGAGAGCCCAAAAGAGTCTATAAGCAGATTAACCATGAAAGAAGGAGAGGAAGAAGTTAAGCTCATGGCATCCTCAGTGAGAGAAGAAGGAGATGAAGAGAGAGAAAGGGGTTTTGTGGAGTATTGTTCAACATAAGAATGAAGAGAGGGAGGAATGACAAAAGAAATGAAATAGTGGGGTTTAGAGAGAGATTGTGCTTTTGTCAAAGCCATGATTTGGAAGGGTTAGAAGAAGATAACCAGTTCTGGGGCGAATACAAATAACACCATTAAGGAATACAAAACCTCAAAAAAACAAGAATCATTTAACCCAACGATGACATAGAAAGAACAAGAACCGTACTATGTGGCTTGCTGTAAAGCGAGTAAGCTGCAGCCTTTATGCTCTCTCTCTCCTCCCAAGCACCCCAACTTTCTCTCTCTAAAATGGAGAAGGAGAATCTCTCTCTCTCCTCTCTGTCTTCTTTCAAATAGAGAGGAAGAAGCAGGTACACTCTCTCTCACTCAATTTCAAACAGAGGGAAATGGTGGATAGGCCACATTGTTGGTGATGAGTGAGAAAGTACTGGTAAGATTTCATGAGTAAACTTTGTAGAGAGAGAGTGTAGCCATGACCCCTTGAAGAGTAGGGTGAAGGGTGATCATTCGGCTTGAAAGGACGGACGGTTAAGATCGTAGGACGAGCAATGGAATGGACGGCCGACGATGGTAGGCTAATTGGGAAATCTACACTCGTAACTCATTATAAAAGATGAGGCTTATATAAGGCCTGGGCTTTATGGAAACAAACTCGTGCGTCACCCCAAATCTTCCTCCGGAAAACACTTTCGGCAAAGGAAATCTCGATAAAGGCTCTAAAATTAGTCTAACACTAGCAATAAAATTTGAAACTAAAAAATAGTACAGATCTTACATATATGTGAACATTTATTTTTATGGTAAAATGGACTGTCTAGATAATTTATAACAATATACACTATTTTTAGAGTTTGAAATCTTATTTTTTTTCACAACTATAATGTCGAAGTCCATATGATTGATATGAAATTTTCTCATGCTTGAATTGTGTTTTTGGATGAGTTATGAAGTTAGACTTTGCTTATTTTGATAGGGCTGGAGCCCTATCAAGCCATTTTCCTATTATAAAATGAAAAATTGTTTGATAGTGCAAATAAGCAAAATCCGCACTTTGTAACTCATTGAAAATTGTAATTAAAGTATTGAAAAAATCTTTATATGGATCATCTCGACTTAAACATTATGGTTGTAAACCAAATTACGATTTCAAACTCTAAAAATAGTGCATAATGTAACAAAGGGCAATGATTCCATGCAACCGATGATGCAATAACCTTAAAAAACCATCTTATAGCCATTTGTTTGATCAAAATTTTGAAATATACACTCTTTTCATTCTAATGAACAATAAAAAATAAAAAAAAAATTGAAAACACAACCTAAAAAGTATTTTTTTAGCACAATTAACATAGGCCATTCATTTTGGTGAGATGCTTATATCTAGACTTTAGAATGACTTTTGCATTTTCAATTTTTTTGGATGGCTTTATTATCATTAGATGAACAATGTTAAAAAAGGAAAAAATGATTTTGAGTTTATAAAGGCTAAGATCTTGAAATTCACAAAATGAATAGTCTAGATTCGTTTTTGGAGGGGACTCATTTTAACCATATCTAGGGTTCAAATTGAACTTTTTTTTGGGGGGGATTGATTATTGAGATGAAGAGAGTGTGTATGCAAAATTTAGAGTCATACAAATATCACAAACATGGTTTTCTAGAAGTGTCGTTACATTATACTATAATACAATCATTGCATTGGATCATTGCTCCGTAACAAATTATCTAGATTGTTCATTTTACTTTAAAAATGAGTGTTCATAAGTCCACTAGATCTATACCCTTTTTGTAGTTTCAAAATTTATTGTCGATATTAAAATTTGATTTTAGAACCATCATAGAGATTTTCATCGTGGAAAGTACTTTCCGGATAAGGATATGAGATGAGGTTTTATTTTGTTTTCATAACGAAACCTCGTACTAAATTATATACAAATTTATTTCCTTTTAGTGCCTTTCTAAGATTCAGACGTGCCTTTTTAAACGCTACCTTAATTCATCAGACACTACCTTTTTACGAAATTCCAAATTTACGTTTTTAGTTTTTTTACTTCTTTTTTTTACATTAGTCCTTCAATGTTGGTCATTTGACCTAGACAGAGATAGCTTGCAGTAATCAGAGGGAGGCAACTCACAGGCTGGTTGGATGCTACATGTGGCGCAGCATGTTTTTCCAAGCAAAAGTATTGCACTGAATATAGCAATTGAGATGAGAAACTTGTTTCATGCAGGCTGGACCGCACTGAATATAGCAATTGAGATGAGAAACTTGTTTCATGCAGGCTGGACCGCATTTCTACATATGCCTTCAAGAAATGTAAAGCATCCATCTTAAAGATGGATGCAAGTAGGTGTTCCATCTAAAAACAATGAAAACTAACGGTCCAAATGTTTTCTTACTAGAATTATTATTTTTAGTTTTTAAAATTTATTTATTATTTCATATTCATGATCTCCATATTAGAGATCACATGTCCTTAAAAATTAAGTATTAAAATCCATCTAAAAAATAGATTCATTAAGAAGCCCACGGTTCTACATATGCGGGCTTGGCCACATAAAAACCGGGTCCATTGGGATAAATTGGTGGGGACTCTTATCGGGAATTTGGGATGTTATTGTGATCGTCTCTTTTATTAGGAATTAATAGATAATTAGCATATTTCAATCATTTCACTTAAATTAATATTTAAGGGAAAAATCATTTAAATGATCAAAACACTTTATAAAACATTAAGACCGTTAATCATCCCGTTCGAGTACCTCTTTACGTTTTATTTCCATCAGTATATCAATCCTTTTAAGTTTTATTTCCATCAGTATCTCCTCAATCCAAGAAAGAGTACTCATGTCATTTGCATCAGTTTCAAGCCTTCTTTGCTTGGTACATGGCATGGATAATATAATGGGTGCTGATAAACAAGAAAAGAAGTGAAAATCACAGTGATAAGAATCCCATAATATAGCAAAATTTGACATACAAAACTCTTAGTAATTTAACAGAGGAGACGTGTTGGTTTTTTGACATCAATGGCTATGAAGACTGACCCGTAAGCTCCTCGCGACCCCATAATCTTGAGCAACTTTTCGCCTTAGTCCCCTAATCTCAACATATACTTCTTCAAACTGTCGATAATTCACATCATATTTCATTATTTCAATACTTGAAATAGATTATACCCAGGGGTCACCCTTCCATCAAAACTATAAAAGAAAAAGATGGGGATACAAAAAATTATAATTTATCATATTCCAATTCACTAACAAAATAATAAACAAACTTCTTCAACTTCTGATCAGAGCAAGCCCATCAGGCACTATCTGGTAAGCAATAGAAACAGCTTGTGACCACCCATAACTATCAAAGCAATCAATCTTAGCCTTCCCTCTCTCCTTGCTCGTTAACTTGTGGTAAGGATTGCAGTAGGAAACATCTGAGAGTGAGGATCAAGAACCGATTCCTTAACTTTCTTGGTGAATATTTAAACCGACTGGGCTTCAGGCAAAGTAACAATGGTTATGCAATACGAGTGTTCTTAACTTCAAGCCCTCAGCTCCATAGCTCTCTATGAACCTTATATCACCGCTCTCTCTTGATTATGCCACCCGAAACCCAAGTGACTGATTTAAGAAATCGAACTGCATTCTCACTGGTCTGCAAATAGTTCTTGAAGAAAAGAACGAGAGGGAGGATCCTTTTCCTTGCCATATGCACAAGAAAAGAACAGTTCGAAGAGACACCTGAAGATCATAAACATCTTTCTTTCCAATTTAAGTTCATACTATGGATATTATTCACAGCAGTACCACTAAAGGTATTAACTTTTACGTAAAGCTTAGACAGACGCTAGCTTCTCAACGTATGATGAATTTATATCTTCACCAAAAGAGTTTGATAATATTTACCCCCACCTTCTGTGAAACATTTCCAATGGAGTAATTTATGGTCCCTTGTCAAAGGGAACTTTAAAAAATTAATAAAAAGATGAAAGCAAACTAAAAAATCTATCCCGAAGAAGAAACTTCAATTTGATGCAGTAGAAGGGACAAAATAATAAACATCTGAGGCCAATGACTCATATCACAACTTTGTTAACTATCTAGAATATCACAAACTCATGAGGATCACACTGCACAATTCCTGAAAATTTTGAGAAGCCAATTGCAAAACACACATGATTTTCAGACTTGGATAGCTAGGCAGCTTCTAACCCCCCATATCACCACTGATTCTCGTGTTCTCCTCGCTTGCGTTATAAATCCTCAATAAAAAGTCAGCTTCATCCCCAAAACCCAACAAATACTGCAAAAACTTCTCCTCTGTCAGTCCACAAACGCCTGATAATCCTATATCCTTTTTAACCAAATTCTTTGATTTCAAAGCCTGCAACACCTTATGCCTAGGAAGAACTCTTCCCTCAAAATCAAAACAAAGAAGAGAAGGGTGCAAAACCAAATAATCTTTATCGAAATTCAGTATGTTATTAAAACCATAAATAACCTTTTGCAACTTCTTCTCTGACATTTCCAGTAACAAATGGTTCCTGATAAACACAGATAGAACATTTCTTCTGACCACCCAAAACTCTCAAAGGTCTTCAGCTTACTCTGCCATGTATCCTTGCTCAGGGAACACATGCATAAAACTGCGCGAGAGAACACGTTAGTCTGACAATCAAGTCCCAACTTCTTAATTTTTCCCAAGATCTCCTTAAACCACTTGGGTTCCTGTGTAAAAATGGCAGGCTTTGCCAACATGAACTCCTCTAATTGGGAGGCGCCAACTCCATAGCTCAGCAGAGACCTTATGTTGGGCAACAATGCCTTCTTGGGGTTGGCCATAACAAGCTGACTACATCGTTTTAGAACACTGAAAATGTCTTCATTTGTTTTCAAAATACTCTTTAGAAAGTGCATGGACGGTTGGAGATGCTGCTTGGTACTACATGTAATAAAAGCTGGATTTGAAGAGAGGAATATGCCAAGTTCAGATCCAGAAAGATCCAAATCTTGAAGCAATTTGAATTTGGATTTTAGAGTTGTGGTGGTAAGAATTTGGGGAACCTTGGTGATGATATTAGAGATAAGGGTATCATGGAAACCACTGTTTTTGAGGAATTTTAACACAAAGAGAGGCTTTTTAGGGGATTTAAAGTGGAGAAATTGGTGAGATATTGCAATTGCCGCCTACTCTGAAAGGCCAACTGAGTCTATCAGTTGTTTAACCATCAAAGAAGCTGATGATAAGGCCATTTCCTTACTATTACAAGGAGGTGAGAGAGATGAATTAGAAGGAGACATTAAGTTTACCTCATCACCAGTGAGCGGAAGCGAGAGAGAAGAAGAAGATGAAGCCTTCGCCATAGCATCAATTTCATCATTTTCTCTATTTCCTTTAAAAAT